GTACACACTCGCCACGTATCGCGGGGGGCCAGCCTCCCCCCGGATCTGAATCCAAGCCACTCCCTCCCAGCTGTGCCACTGCTGGACCCGACCCACCAGAGAGCTGCGGGCGTAGATGGCCACGCCGCCGCGTCCCCTGCCCGTCGAGCAGGGGGTCCCTGGTCGGTGGTTCACAAGCGAGTAGCCCTGCAGGCTGGGTGGGGTGGCGCCCGGCAAGTGGTGTGTCTCAGTGAACAGGAGCACATCACTTGGCGCAGCAGGCAGCAAGGCTGCTACCGCGGCTGTGTCATGGGCCAGGAAGCCGCGTGTGTTCAGCAATAGCACAGCGGCGCCCGCCTGGCTCCCAACCCCCTAGCGGGCCCCTGACGGCTGTCCCACCCGCCGCCTGCTGCGCCGCACATGGGCAGCACCAGGGGCGGGCTCCTCCCCCGAGGCGGGGCAGCCGCCACTCAAGGTAACAGGCTGACTGGCTGGCTGGCTGGCCACCCGCTGGCGCCACTCCCGCTGCCCGCCACTCCGCCACGCTGCCATCGCCACCTCCGTGATCTGGCTGGCCACATTGGGCACGAAGATTTTAGGCCGCGGCTAAGAAAGGCCTTCTTTGAAGGCGCTGGAGCTAGTGTCTAAACCCTCCGAGAGGGCACAGGTTCGATTCCTCCCATGTCGAAACTTTGTGAGGACAAACGCGGCATAGCTGACCGGCTCAGCGCCAATCCAAGCCAATTCCTTCGGGAACGCCTAATAGAATCGCCAAGGCTTCGGCACAGGCCTCCCCGGGACCCATTCACTACTAGTGGGGGGTACTGCACTTGGCGCGTCGGGCAGATCAAATAATGGTCTAAAGCTAGACGTTAAAACCGGGAAGTGAAGCTTGTGGCCGGCAGCCACATGTCGTCATCCGCGCCATACCCCTCAAACCGGCACAGGTACCGCGTGCCACTCCCCCTGCCCCGCTGATCGATGACGCCTTCCATGGTGCACCACTCCTCAGCCTCCTGCGGGTCCAGGCGGGCGGGGGAGGAGGCAGAGGGGGGCGCGGCGGCAGGGGGCGCGGCGGCAGCGGCAGGCGCGGGCTGTGCGGCGGCGGGCTGTGCGGCGGCAGGCGGCGTGGGCGTGGGCGCAGGCATGGTGGTGGTGGTGGGCGGCGGCGGCGGCGCGGCAGGCAGCGGCTGGCATACGGGCTGTGGGGGCTGGCTGGCTGGCTGGCTGGCTGGCGGCGGGCTGGCGGGCTGGCGTGCGTGCGGCCGGGCGATGGGCATGGCGGCGGCAGCAGCGGCGGCGGCGGCAGCGGCGGCGGCGGCAG